AATCTCTTCAAATTTGTTTTTTGTGTTCTGCAGATGGAGAGATCCACTTATAGGTTTAAGTCGCCTCCGTCTACAAGAAAAATGTTGTCTGAATATTATCAGTTGAATGCTTTGTATTTAAGTGTTCTGAAAAAAATAATCCAAAAGTTCCAAAACGCCAGAGTATTTAGCAAAACCTGAACAATTGCGTGTTAGCTCGTCATTGTTTTTTATTTTATAGATCATGGATTAATGTAGTGTTGGAGTAACAACTTTGTATTAATATCATCATTGTTACTTTTCTTCTTCAATTTTATACTCCACTATGTAGTTGCTATTCAGCCCAGCCGAAAAGAAAGCGAAATTCTACTGCCCAAGACCCCAGCAACATTGGAAGGCAATTCCTAATTCCAGCGAAGATGTTGCTATGCCTGAAAGCGTTGATAAGTTTTGATTTTCAAGCTCACAGCAGTCCGAAACTCTTTTCCCGGACAGAGCTAAATTATTTGTTGAGAAACTTGATTATCAAAAAAAAGCGCTGTTGATGTGGTTGGATCAAATTTTAAAAGCAGGTACTTGATTTAGCCAGGGGTGTATGCCTGCTCATTTAAATAAATGGCTTATTTCACTAAGATTATAGGTTTGATGGAGACATTTATGATCCCATACGATCGGGTACAACAATCTGGGCATACCAAATTCCCTTGCCTTTTGGCGAAACTCAACCGAAAAAGGTTGACTTCAAAGGCAGCTTAGTGCTGGCGATAAGAACTTGTTGGATGAAATTTTGGTGTCTCCTCTTAAAGTTCTTCTAACATCACTTCGCAAAAGTTTTAGGCTGTCTAATTAGTCTAAAAGTACATCTTCTTGAATACTAAGTAGTCGGTTCCAAAAAATTTAATTTTGTGAAGGATAAGGTGAATGATTCTAACAAGACATTTTGGGAAATGGGAAAACGATACCAAGGAAGATGGAGCGTCTCAATGACGACAGACTATCGTTAGACCTTTCTCGACGATTTCACAAACGAAAATGTGGCAAAGAGAGTCTCACTGGGGCTAAAAAAAGTGTTTATTGCCTACTAATTAATATATTCTATGCAGTTTGTAGAAAACGTGACGTTCTATGATAAAATACATGTCTTGGGATTCAGCATACTCAAAAACATGAATTACGCAAGAAAGCAAGAAAATCAAAATACCTTTAAGCAGTCTTTTTTGCAAATTTGGGTATTTTTTTTTTTCGAAAACTCGTGTCTCCTTATGTTGTGTATCTGACGAAATACCGAAAAACAGTTCGCATTTACCCATTCCAAAACTGTTATAAGGCTTAGCGAAAATAAAAAAAAATCTTCCAAGATCGCTGGGTATATTTTTGAATGGTTCTAATTTTGAAAGAAAGTAAAAAAAGAAAAACTTGATTTATTCAAATAGATACTAAAAAACACTTTCGAAATCGTTTATGATCTAATATAACCTTTGTAGAAAATAATTTAACTATTTATTTACAGTGTAACTACTGAATTAACATGATAGTTCTTCAATACTCCGAATCTCTATAAAAATCATTTCCGCATGCGCTAAACTATTTGAAAAAACTTGCCTGCTTGTCAGCGTAAAACAACAAAGACAATAAAAGTCGAAAAAACAGTAAACTGAGACAATTTAGCCAGCAACAAGACTGAAGAACGACAAGCGATCATAAGGCAAATAAGAGGGAAAGTACAAAAGAGACAAAACCAAAAAAAAAAGAAAGATATTATGCACTACGAAAAACAACAAAAATTTTACATAAAAATGTCAAAAAAAAAAGAAAAACAAGGAAAGACAAATCGAAATGAAGCAATTAAATGACGATTCCAATAATATTACAGTACGAGTGTTTCAAAGTCAATGTCACACGGTAAAGATACAATTTTTTGGCGCACGCCTATATACATATATATGTCATACATGCAAGCGAAAAGGAAAAAAAGGTTTTTTTTTGTTGTTTTTATAAACTCATACTATTTGTGCAGTACTTATATGTGTGGTCAAGTGTATAATCATGAATCCAGCCGATCGCGTAAACAAATCGCTGGCAATTTTAGGGAGTTTTATTATATACATACATACATATAAATGTATGTATTAATCAGGGATGTTACAGAATCAGAATTGAATCTGACAAAAATCTGCTTAGCTCATTTTTTGTAGAATTCTAAGGCTAATTATTTCGAGTTGTAATAAAAAAAATGTCTTACAAAAGGAATTTTCAAATTGAAAATGAAAATTAGAAATAAAAAAAATAATTCAGTTAAATATTATTTTTCGATTTTTATTTGCTTTTAATTTTTTTTTTTTTGGTTTTTATGTTTTTATTATTTTCTGCTCAGAAACAATGATTACTTGCGGGCTTTTTAATTTTCGCGATCAATTAAAATTTGGTCCTTAGACTTTCAGATCAAATCATCGCATTTTCAGCAGTCTGTTCAGAATAAAATCAATCCAATATCAATTTAAATTTCAGAGTGTAAATACATCGCTATAAATGAAAACTAGTTCAATAAAAAATGTCTAAACCTCATAAAAAAATTAAACATTATACAAAAGCTGGAAGAAGTTGAGTGTTGTTTTTCATTGTGGAGCTCTTAAGTTTCTGGACAAGCTGAATCTAAAATACATTATGTAGAAAACATTAAACACATTTCCTTTCCCCCCTTGAAACCTCTTTAAGTACATTTGCTTTGTAGAAAGCAACAAGAAGATCTCTGTGAAGTGTCCAACTGTGATCATCCCAGGCATATTTCTTCCATCTCCTTGGTGATTGCTGAGATCGTTCACTTTGCTCTACACTTATATCTAAATTTTCTGCAAAGAAGTCGAGATGGTAGTGAACTTTCAAATCTATATTTGCTTACTAATAAATTTGTCTCTTGGTTGTTATGTAGGTTTTTTTTAATCGTAAGTCGTGTCTCTGACCACCTTTGTTTTCTTCTTACGGATATCTGGTCAATGGTGAACATACTAGGTCTAAGACGGCTAAATTCACGCTAATTGTGCAGTCTGCGAGGTCTTCCTCCCTATGCAGGGCCGGGCTGGACACACTCAGAGTCCAATTGCCGGCCTTGCTGTGGCTATATTCTGCAAAGAACGTGCACCTTATCAGTTCCTTCTCGTCATGTTTGAAGAGCTCAGCCGACAAGCCATCTACTACCGCAATTTAGTTATGCACTCGGTCCAGAGTCTTTTCAATGGCCATTTATTGGAGTTTCACTGCAGTTAAATATGCTGGACTTTATGCCCTTCAAAAACTCAGTAAGCCCTGGACATCGATTACAAGATTACCTTTATAATTTCAGTTTTTTTCGTCTCCATATGCGTCTGGTTACTCTCTTCAATTCTCGGAATCTGTTGCACGTTGCACGTGCTGTGGTCGGTAGCAGAGTTGCGATGCAGGCTGTTTTCTCTGCTTTATGACAGGGCAATACCATCGTACCATCTCTCCTTTTGGCCTTGCTTATACCGAGTTATTGATGAGTGCCCTCAGAAGCAGAAGCAGAAGAAAAAAGACTGTTGTATGTTGGGATTACGAACCTTTTCTATGTTTGCTGACGCGAGCTCTTGGCTCCTCAAATGCGAAAGCTTACCTTGGCTGCAAAAAGTATGTGCAGCTGAAACATTGGGGACATGTCTTGCATGAACTTGTTCCTTGGGGCAGGGACTTTTGACGCCCAATAACTTCCAGCGATTCTACAAAATATTACCTAGTCTTAAAGAAACAGATTTCATAATAAACTTTTTCATATTATTCAACACATTGTTAGATAAGGTTTTCGAATAATTGCCCCCAAATTTCTCGACATGAGTGAAGCCTCGGTAGCAAATGGTTCTTACGGACAGATGTAAGATTTCGATCTGAGCGTGAAATTTATATCCAACTCATTCGCATTTGCTTTTTTCTTTTGGGCTCCGATAGACTTATTTCGGCACTGGAAAACAATAACCTCGCGGGGAATCACAAAGAATAAGTTTAGTTCGATTCAAGGGAAGAGCAGGGAAGCATTCGGGCACTTGCAGTCTACAAGCCGTTGGTAGATATCCCGCCAGTTCTCTATGTAAAACCACTGATAAAAACATGTCTTACGAGCTTACGGGAGCTCTGGATTCAGTAATACGCACCTCCGTCCAACTGTGGTCTGCACAATTATTCTATAGCTTTGTTGTAAGAAAATCGAGTCTGGACCCATTGATTCAGCTATCGAAAGATGGAAGAATTGTGATTATCTCAAGAGCGGTAGACTGATGTAGGATACCTTCATAATCGAATGTATGACCTTCTTCAAAAATTTTGCTTGTTCCTTCAGAATCTGCCTAAGGTACATGTTCAAGAATGTTCTAAGGGCGAATCGTATTTTTATGACTTAATTTATTTTTTCACTAATCACTAATTGATGTTTTTAAAAAAATTTGCAATAATTTTATTCTCCACTTAAAACTCTCAACTGTTTCTTTCGCACCTGCTACGTGACTCTTTGTGTTTCTTTTATGCGCGCTCACCCTAAGCCAATTGTTGGAATTTTTTTGGCATTTTGTGCGAAAACCCTCGAAAAAACTTGTCCAATGCATACATCAGTTTCGTTCAAAGTTACGCATAAATTTACAATACAGAAGTTTCGTAATCTTCAAGTAAAGATTTGGCGAGAAACCGCACAAAACGAAGAGTGTGACAAAGGTGTTGTTGGTGGTCCGTCGATTGACCGCCGAACGGAAAGGCAAAGTTGAATGAAAAATATTACAGATGCCAAAAAGCACGAGCAAGTGAATGACCGTAATCTGATTTTCAGTTCGAATTCGAAAATAATAACTGAGTCACAAAGTAGACGATGAATACCAGCGGCAATAATAACAATCAAACTCGTAATATAATAATAGCGCACGCCGAAGGCAATGGACGACACAGCGCGGCAGTCAATGACAAAAGTTAGCCAACAAATATGTTCGGTTTATATAAATTTGTATTTATTTACACTAGAAAACTTACGATATTAACTTTTTTCAGTGCACTGATTGTTTTACTTAATTATTTGACTATTTAAAAGTAACTGTAAATATTTAGACTTAGAATTCTTCATTGTTGCTCAGCGAAAAGCAAAAGCTTGCCTTGTACATTTGTTAGATTAAAAACTAATTATCTTTTAATACATATTTTCTTAAAAGCGCACACTTAAAACACTAAACACTGTGTAAATTTACTTGGCAACTCGTTTCGTTGTTCACTTAGCGGCTAAATTAAATTATTATTGTGTGAGAATTGCTCTACAATGTGCCCACCCGAACTTAAGAATTATTTTGTGTCCCCATTTTGGAAAGCTTGGCATTCAAATACTCAACTTCACTTAATTCTATTCCTTTAGCTACCCTTTATTCGTCACTGCTTGAAACCATGATCCTCTTTAATCATATCCGCCGCCTTCTCAGCAATCATGAAAACCGGACCATTCGGATGGCCCGACATGATCTCCGGCATGATGCTTGCATCAGCCACACGCAAATTTTTAATGCCATACACGCGCAATCTCGGATCCAATACCGCTGTGGGATCTGTTGCTGGACCCATTTTCACAGTGCCCGAATAGTGATAGATGGTGAATGTGAAGTGTCGCACATGACATTCCCAATATTCGCGAGTGCCGAATTTGAGTCCGGGGCAAGTTGGTATGCGGCGGTTCCATACTTTGGCGTTGATCTTCTTAAAGGCTGGGTAATTGGCTAGACTTATTGCCTTTAGCACGCCACGCACTGATATGTCGACATCGTAGGGATGCGAATAGTAGTTTGAGTAGATGAGTGGATATTTTTGTGGATCAGTGCTTTTTAGCATAATGCGTCCACGACTCTTCGGCCGCAAGATCATGGGGAATATCATGAAGGCATTGAGTTCACGATCTTCTATTTCTGCGAACATGGCGTCGTAGATAATTTTTTTAAGACCAAAAGCGCGGGATATTGCTGGATTAGAGGACATTGAGCCGCCTACTAAGAACAATTCAATATCCGGCCAACCGTCTTTCAATTGCGGATGATCCAAGTCCCAGAAAGCTATAGCCTCACAGCCGCCGGGTGAGCCGTACGGCCCTTCCTGACGATTGAAACGATTCACCAACGTTGGATCGGCAAAGTCTTCGAAATGCAGTGAAGTCGCGTTGGTGGTGAAAGTCACCGCAGGGGCTGTATGATCTTGCAGATTGTAGCCAACAGCCAAATCCGCAATAGGCTTAATACCCATCTCACGCAAATGCTTCGCCGGTCCAATGCCCGAAAGCATCAACAGTTGTGGCGAATTAATGGCGCCAGCGCTAACAATAACCTCGCGACGTGCAAGTATTTTGTGTTCCTGTCCATCAGTACGCACAATAATGCCATATGCAGTTTTTGTGGTCGGATCGATAAGTATCTTTGTTACCAAAGCGAATTTCTTGACATGCAAATTACGGCGTTTGCCCTTCAGCGGATACAAGTAGGCGCGGTTTGAACTCCAACGTGTCGAATTGCGCGTAGTGGTATGCAGATAACTTACGCCATTCTGTATGTGCCCATTATAGTCGCGGCGATCCAAGCCATCCTGCTGCGCGGCTTCGAGAAAAGCCTCAGCAATCTTCGAACGCCAGTTAACGTAGGAGACCTTTACGGGACCATCGCGTCCGACCAGGTCCTCATCGGCGTCGGGCACACTCGAACCCTCGTACTTCTTAAAATACGGCAACACATCACGCCAACTCCAGCCCACATTGCCTAACTCCGCCCAGCGATCGTAATCGCGTCGATTGCCACGAGTATACATCATATAGTTTAGCACCGACGAGCCGCCCATAACCTTCCCACGCGGCCAGTTGCAACGATTGTTGTTCATCGCCAAACAAGCGCGATCGGACGGCTGTGTGCGGTACTTCCAATTCATTTCGCCGAGTTGCAGAAAATGCGCCACTATCGGCACATCCATAATGAGACTCTCCGGTCCACCAGCCTCGAGCAGCAACACCTTCCACTTGGGATTCTCAGAAAGGCGCGCGGCGATCGCACAACCTGCTGTGCCCGCACCAACGACTATAAAATCATATTCACCTTCCATTTGCAAATTGTTGTCGTAATTCTCCAAATCAGCATCTTGCTGACCGCGTCGCAAAAAGTCGAAGGTTTCCAGTATAACATTGCGTTCTTGTGCTAAAGTGTAGGCGCAGAAAAGACAGATGAACGCGGGAAGCAGGTAACGTGTTTTAAGGAGGAAGAACATTTTGTTTTTGTGTGATTATCTTCAGTTTTTTTCTTTATTTTGTGGAATAGTTCATTTAGTCACATATTAGGCTGCGGCTACCTTAATTTTATTCGCACGCATTAAGCACAGTTATTTCTTATAAGCACAAACTCAAAAGTTTCAAAGTTCTAGTGTTCTGGTTTTTGGTCTTTGGTTTTAGAAAATCTTTAATAAATCGGTTGTAAATAAATTTCTTGATTTTTTAATTTTCTTCAATGTCTTTATTTGCACTTTGCACTCGTTTGCTTATGGACTTTTACATCAGCTTCTTAACGCTGCCGTTGCGTTCTAAACACTTTTGCTTTTTTCCTATATTTTTGCTTTGCCGCTGTTTGAACCGCGGGCCCGTTTTCTTCGCCGTTTGCACTGAACCGTATTCTCAGTGGGTAACGCGCGTCTTAACGCCGAGGAAACGTAACTTTGAATGCTCACCGTTCGGCTGGTGTGAGTGTTTTTAATATTCATGGTGAATAAGACGACGACGACGACGACGACGATGTGTTCGGCCAACTATTCTTCGTTGCTCAGCTTCTTCTTCTGCGATTTACTTGATACCGACCAAAAATGAAGGAAACCCAAAAAACAAAAATAATTCAATGCGAATTCGCGCCACCATCGAACAGGTTGTTCAACAGATCAAATCGGCGTCGGCGCAAACGACTAACACGACACCACACTAGCGCGACGACGTCGCTGTTGGTGCTAACGAAATTGGTTTTCTTTGTCGGTAGCAAATTAAGTCGACGACAAACACCGCTGTTGAACTTGCAAACTATTCGCCGTTGCTGCGTCTCAAGGTGCGCGCGAGGTATGTGCGCACTCGTATCGTTTAATAGTCTATGGAAAGTGAAGTTGAATTCTCTAAGTACGCGGTTGATTGTGTGTAGGCACATTGTTCTTTCTTGTTTTTCCTTTTCGGCTGTTGCTTCGTTGCTGTCTGTGGTGCATGGCTGTGGACACGTTAACCAAAGTTTGTAACTTAGCGAGTCGACAAATATTATTGTTGGATGTTGAACTTGGGGAACGGAATGTCTTGCGATGGCTGCGGTAACCCCGGTGATTGAAAGAGGAATCTCATATGGGGAAGTGCACAAATCGCGTTTTCTTGTGCGTCGGAAGGATTTGAAAAGCAGTTGTCAGAACGGTTTGGTGCTTGGTACGCCTTTTGATTTATTTAAGAAAAATTTGGTTAAAAAAAAGGAAAACATAAAAACAGTGAAAAGGTCTTTCAAAACTCTTGATATCTCACAACATGTCTTAAGATCGTTGAGAAGCCTTGGTTTTGTTTTTATTAGCTTCTTTTTTTAATTTTCCTACTTATGCACTAGTTGACTATGAAAGCAGTTACTAAGCACGAATCCTTAAATATAGTTGTTATCTTGTTTAATCATATCTGCCGCCTTCTCGGCAATCATGAACACCGGTCCATTCGGATGGCCGGCAATAATCTCAGGCATTATGCTAGCATCGACCACACGCAACCGTTTTACACCATACACACGCAATCTCGCATCGACGACAGCTGCAGGATCAGTTGGCGGTCCCATCTTGGCTGTGCCACAGTAGTGGTAGATCGTGTAGGTGAAGTGTCGCACATAACATTCCCAGTAGGCGCGTGATTTATACGGTAGCTTAGCACAGCCTGGCATAATACGTTCTAGCAAGCGTGCATTGATCGCTTTGAAGCCTGGTCTGTCTAGTAAACTAATTGTTTTGAGTACCGCTCGCACAGAAATGTCTAAATCATCAGGATTTGCGAAGTAGTTCGCATGCAAGAGTGGATATTTGAATGGGTTGTTACTTTTAAGCAAGACTCGACCGCGGCTCTTCGGACGCAAAATCATGGGGAATATCATAAAACCGTCGGAATTCACGTTACGGTACATCGTGTTGTAGGTATCAAGCTGTATGCCGAACGCACGCAACGTAGCTGGGTTCTCTTCGAACGAGCCGGCTAACTGGAACATCTCTAAGTCCGCCCAACCATCTTCTACTTGTGGTTGACTAAGATCCCAAAAAGCTATAGCCTCCACAGCGCCGGGTAGACCAAAGAGCCCTTTGCCATCTATATATTGCATAATATTGGTGGCCTCAAAGTAGTCGCTTGTTCGGATGGAACTCACATTGGTGGTAAAGGATACCGCAGGCGCGATGTGATCTTGCAGATTGTAGCCCACAGCCAAATCGACAATGGGCTTAATGCCAACATCACGCAAATGCTGTGCCGGTCCAATGCCGGAGAGCATCAGCAGTTGCGGAGTGTTGATAGCACCCGCACTTAGTATAACCTCACGTCTTGCACGCACTTGATACGATTGACCGCCGGTGCTCAACACCACTCCGTAAGCTGTCTTTGTGTTGGGATCGATCAGCACTTTAGTCACCAGCGCATTCTTTTTCACATGTAAATTGGCTCGTTTTCCTTTGATTGGGTAGAGATAGGCACGATTGGAGCTCCAACGCATACCTTTGTGTATTGTGGCCTGCAGATAGGACACACCCGTTTGTATGTGTCCATTGTAGTCGCGATACTTCAGCCCATCTTCCTGTGCGGCTCGTACGAAAGCCTCTGAGATGTGTGAACGCCAATCAGGATGCCCAATTTTCACCGGACCTCGACGTCCGACAAACTCCGGTTCCGCATTTGGTATTTCCGAGCCTTCGTATTTACGAAAGTACGGCAAGACATCGCGATAACTCCAGCCCTCATTTCCCAACGCTGCCCAGCGATCGTAGTCGCGGCGATTACCGCGTGTGTACATCATGTAGTTGAGCACCGACGAGCCGCCCATCACTTTGCCACGCGGCCAATTACAGCGTCGATTATTCATGGCGAGACAATATTTGTCTGAGGGCTGAGTGCGGTAGTTCCAGTTGATATCTGTGAGTTGTAGAAAATGCGCAAGGATCGGTATATCCATGCCCATATTCTCCGGGCCACCTGCTTCGATGAGCAGCACCTTCCAGGCGGGGTTTTCCGATAAACGCGCCGCAAGCGCACATCCTGCCGTACCCGCACCGACGACTATGAAGTCGTACTCGTTTATTAACTGCACTCCGTCGTCCACATGCTCGATATTTAGATCACTTTGTCCACGTCGCAAAAACTCGAAGAAATTCGTTATAATGTTACCGCGTTGCGCATTCGAGTCACGGTTGAGGTTGGCGAGCAGGCAAGCTATTAACACGAATTGCTGGGTCCGCATATTTATTGCTTATTATTTATTTTTTATTTTTATTACTAATTTTAATATATTTTTTTAGCTTCTAAATTTTTTTTCGAATTTTTGTCGTTGAAATTTTTAACTTTTTTTGCACTTTTTCAATTTTATACTGTTGACAAAAATTTATTAAACACATTAATTGCAATTAATATGTGTCGCACTGCACTTGCTATTCTGCTTAGACATATACGAATATGTATGTATACACAATGTAATTTAATGTGTCCGCGATCGCTCGTCTTTTAATGATCCGTGTAGCCCGTGTGTGGATCCGCCACCGATTCGCGAAGTTCTGTGCCACCCAACCGGCCGGTGAATCCATATAAAGATTCTAACGTTATAAAGTTGAATAGAATATTTGAGAAGAAAACGAAAGCACTGTTATTATAAATAAATATATATTTCTCGTAGGCAGTTATAAATGTTTGTATGTATACGTGTATATATATGTATGGTGTATGGTTCTATTGTCTCATGACGTCGGTTACAAGCCCCAGCTTCGTTGCGCTATGGTTCAATGAACGTTATACTTGCTCTCTAACGATTATTTAATTATGAATTCAAAAGCTTTAAGTAAATAAAAAAAAACACTTTATAAAGGATCAGTCGGCACTGTGGTGTAGTAAGAAGGATTTAATAATTTACATATTTAAAAAAATTTAAACTTGCTCTGTTCATGGACCTAAAAATTTATACTGGATATTTATAAAATTCAAAATTTAAAATTTTTTAAAATAATCTTTAATTTTATTTAAAGATTTTGCTTTTCTTTCATCTGAAAACCATTTAATTTACTAAAAAATAAAAGAAAAAAAATCAAAATGTAAAATATTAAAAATAAAAATATATCAAAATGTAACAAATTTAAGCTAAAAGATTACAAAAAAAATAATAATTGAAAATTTCAGAAAATTAAAACTAAAAAATAAAACTTAACAAAAACAAAATGTTAAACAAAATACATTAAAAAAAGTAAATTAACTAAAATAGACTAAAATCAAATTAACTAAAATTGAATTTAATGAAATAATAAAAGATCAAATAATATAATAAAAAATAAAAAATAAAAATAAATTAAACAAGAAATGAAATAAAAATAACACCAAAAACAAATCCAAGTGAAAAAACTGTTCAATTAAATTTAATAATAATAAATATAAATTAATAATTAAAAGAAATTAAATTAAAATAAAAATAAAACCAAATAAAGGGTAATTTTTTAGCTATTATCTTTTTGGCAACACGCACCGAGTTTTGTATCGCTGTCAAACATCTTCAGTTTGGTCTATAATTTAACCATAAATCGCCTTCAAAAGAAAAACGATTTCAAATTATTCGCTTCAAAGCTCATTTTTGGCTTGATGGGTGCGTAAATAAGCAGAATTGTCGATTTTGGAGTGAAGATCAGCCAGAAGCATTGCAAGAGCTTCCAATGCGTCCAGAAAAAGTCACAGTTTGGTGCGGTTCATGGGCTGGTGGCATCATTGGATCGAACTTTTTCAAAAATGATGTGAATCGTAACGTAGCTGTGAATGGTGAACTTTTTTTTGAGCGGCTATGTAAAATCAAATGTCTATACCGACAAGTTCGCTTTAATAGACGCATTGGAGGACAACATTAAACCATTTGTTCGTGAGATACCGGCCGAAATGTTGGAAAGAGTATGCCAAAATTGGACTAAGCGGATGGACCATTTGAGGCGCAGCCACAGTCAACATTTGCATAAAATAATCTTCAAACATCAAATTAAGATTTCATGCATTTTTCTGAATATTATGGGTTTTTTTAAAAGCTCTTGAAAAATCACCCTTAAAGAAATATAAAATGGATTTTTATTAATAAAAATAAACAAGGTAAAAAATAAAAAATAATGGCAAATTGGTTTGTTACACCACTGTGCAACGTAAAGAAAGCTCTTACCTTTATTCATAGCCTCAACACATTAACATTTTATTCTCTCTCACTTACAAGCTCTCTCAGTAGCTTATAAGAGCTACTTCATTAAATAAAATCAACTTTGCCTTTTCTACTTTTGTTTTATCGAGTGTCAATGTCATGGTCAGCTCACTCGGATCACTGCTTTTGCTACGGCGCAGCGGCAGCTGCCATTCATTGCTGTTGTTGCTGTTGAGACGAGACGTGTTTTTTTATATCTTCACGTCCGTCCTACGTCCGTTTATTGTCTTAATTCTGTATGCATAGCTTCACATTTGAAAATTGGATTTCATTTGGACTTTTGATTATGGGTGTGCGTGTGCTTGCTCTGTTTATAAATAATGACTTTCATTTTGAAATCTAGTTTTCTTTTTGTGAAAGAAGAAATAATAAAACGATTTGTTCTCTCATTACCATACTTAAACAATATGGTGTGATAAATTTATTTGCATATGTATGTATATACATAGATATTTGTGGTCTGTTAATCTGCCATCTGCGGATAACCTTGAAAGGCTGTGTCGACGTGTGGTAAGAAAGAGGAATATCTGTAGCGTAATAAAAGGGGGTTTCCCCAACCGGGGAATAGGTATGTGTGTTACGTCAAAACTTTTAACGTATTGAATCTTGTGTTCGTTATCTCTGTCTGTTTAAGAACATTTATATGTATGTAGCGCGTTCTTTCGTTCCAACTATCATCTCAGCGATCTTATGACCAACCTAAAAATAATTTTCTTGTTTGCAATTAACCATTATCATTATCATAAAAAATAATGACAACACTTGGGACAGGTAACTGACTGCCTTGTTACCTGTGTGTGTATGTATTCCTATGAATACATATTTAATAAATGTAAATATGTTTGTTTTCGGTCAATAAGGAAGACGAAGAGCCAATTAGTATTTAGTGGAAAGAATATTTGAGTAGAATTACGAATCTCTTTCGTGAATCTTGACTGTACGCCTAAATATGAATTATTTATAACGAAATTATTATATATATTATAAAATTTATTAATATATATGCGTATGTATGTTTAGTAGAACTTTGCACTGAAAGAGATTAAAAATATACATACATATTTACTCGTTTGTGTATATTGTTGGCACACTTACGATCTGAGTTGATGCATGTACATACATATGTATTATCACTTTTCATAAGCATATATAAAATGCTTTATAGCTTTGCTATTTGGCATTTGTTCTCGAGCTATTTTTTAAAAATGGGCAACTAGAAATAGTGTTTAAAATATGTGAAATGTGCTTATAAAACCACTGTCTACTAGATTTTCTACTTTTGGTACTGGTTAAAAAAAAAACAAACTAGGAAATGAGTTTTAACTAAAAAAGTTTATTTTCAAACAAATATTATTAATTTAAGAAAAAAATTATTTATAAGTAAAAAATCAAAAAATATAACATAATTAAGTAAAACAAAGAATAATAAATAAATAAATAAAATATAATTGAAAAATAAATTAAAATGATTGAAAATTAAATTTAAGAAAGGCAATTACATAAACTATGTAAAGGTAAAATATAAGTAAAAATAAAAAAATGCAATAAAAAATTTAAATAAAATAAGAAATATAAATAAAATAAATAAAAAATAAAACAAGATAATAAACAAATGAACGTAAATAAAAATTAAATTAAAAAAGGAAAAATAAAAATGAGGAATATAATTAATAGCAATGAATAAGTGAAACAATTAATGAATAATAAAAGTAAAATATAGAAAAACCTTTTTCTCTTTTGTCTTTAAGCGACATAATCGTGTGTTTTGTAGAATGTAGAATCGACTCGTTTTTTTTTTTTCTTTTCTGCTTAGCCGTCATTTTACCTGATCGGCGGCTACTCTCTACCGTTTCTGATATTTTTGTCACACCACTACAGGTCTTTTAATGCTGTCTGATAATCTGAGAAGATATAGACAAAATTTACTGAGAGCAACATTAAATCGAAATAATTGACACCGTCATGTTAGATCGCCAGATCCACCACCATCTGCTATATGGTTTCGACTCATCCGTATAGAGATTAGGTGTGGTAAAAATAAATCCATTATTTTTGCATGAAATTGACGGATTTAAATTTTACTATCCAACTTTATTTAAATGGTTCCAAAAGATTTTTTGTGCAAACTTTAGTTCCTGGACAATTAAAACATTGCTTACATGACGAATGGACTCGTCATTGTCAATGATTTTATCGACATTTTCGACAATTGGCCTTCCACTCGCGGAAGCATCTTTTACATCAAAATTACCGGAATGAAACCGAAATTGTCGAAGAAATACTATAAAATATAGCGTATTTTCTCTTTGCCAGTGTCCACCTCCACCACGATACCGTGAGAAAAGCTTTTTGAGTACGAAATGTCAACTTTCTGACGCCATCTAGTGGAACCCGATAAGACTAATACAACGCGAGATACAGATAGATAACGCCAACTATTGGAAAAATAATGGATTTTTTTTTACTACACCTGATTTTAATATAGTGGTAGCCGAGTGGTTAGCATTGCTTACTGACATTCGGAAGGCTCGGGTTCAAATCCTGGTGTCGCACTAATATCCAAAAAGTTATAGAAAATTAATTTAAATAAACAAATAAGTTAAATTTTCTAATTACAGTCGCCCCTCGGCGGGGAATCTCAACCCCACCGAGTGTATTTCTGACATGAAATAAAGATACCGTCGGAAATTACTAATCTCAGTAAGTGTTGCCCGAAATGCTCCCTCCAATAATACATAGGAATATTATCCTGGCAGGCATACATGCAAGGATGCAATTCCCAAATGATCAGCGGAGTGATACAGCTAAAGTGCTAAAAACTCAAATAACAGGAAGCAATTAGCCAGCTCAGAACGTTATGCAAGGATTTGCGCTTCTCGTGTAAACGTTCTCCCCACTCTAGACGGCTTAGTCTAACTCTAACTCTTCCTTAGCGTCTTTATTTTGGAATACTTTAAAGTTACGTAACTGTGAAGAAGCATTGTGTATATACCTTTTGCTTAAACTAAACCGCGCAGTGAATTTCTTAATTGCTTTTGTAT